CGGTGCTTGTCATCTGAGGGTAGGGCCAGCCCTGCAGGAGACACACACATGGCCACCACCCCAGGCTCAGACTGAGGCCACAGCATCAGTAGCCGGGCTGAGGTCCCCGACAAACAGGAGGCCAGGCCTGGGATGCAGGTGGTTACACCTCACAGGTGCTCCTCCTAACGAGGGTGCCAGGCGCTCAGCGGGCGGGACTGCGTGTCCTCCTCTGAATGCGAAGCTCAGAGACCGGTGACCCCCAGACCACTCAGCTCACGAACGCTGCTGGGCACGGACAGAGCGACGAAGGAGACGGACAGGTTCCCCGTGCTCGGGAGGCACCTGCCCCCGTGTGGACGGCAGCTCCTGACAGACTCACTTCACAGAGCGCTGAGTCCCGGGGAGAAGCCACGCCCGGGGCCGAGTCTGGCAGAACTGGGGAGAATGAGGACAGGCTCTAAGGAGCCTTTCCTCCCTGGCATGTCGCTGTCACAGGGTTTAGGCCCGACTTCCCTCCCTAGGATAGCATCCCGGCCCCAGGCATATTTCCGCCCCAGGCCCAGGGAAGCAGCAAAACCAGACAAGTGACGCCCACAGCTGCCTCCGCATTGACTAATGACCCCCTGCCCTGGCGCCGGCCAATCAGTGGAGACCTGGCCCTGAAAGAGCACCTGGAGGGCTGATGGATGTTCTATTGAGACCCTCCCCTGGCACCTCCCCTCAGACTCCCACTTGCAACAGAGCAATGAGCACCCTCAGCATAGAGGACCCCGCTGTGGGCTCTCCCTTCTGGGACCACGCCCTTGCCCTTCCCTTCCCCTCCTTAACTCCAAGGGACCCCACGAGACCTGCAGCCAGGGGAGCACTGGGCTGTGCCAAGGCCCGAGGCTGAGCTGTGAGTCCCACAGATGCTGGGTGGGGTGGGGTGGCCCTGCCGGGAGGTGCCCCCCCCCACCAGCAGGTCACCCCCCCGCCCCCAGCAAGCACACTGCATTCCCACAGTCCTGCGTTTCCAACGCTGTCACCTGGCCGCTCGCTTGCTGTGTGCTCAGGCCTCAGTTTCCCCGTCTGTAAAGCGAGCAGGAGCCCCGGGGCTCCCTCCGGAAAGGTGTCTGGGTTGGGAAGCGCCACTGAGGCTGCCGTCCTTCTCCGAGGGACCATGGCAGTTGCACATCAAGGACTGCAACGTTCTGCAACGTAAAAGCCAGGTTGCCTTTCATTGATTCCATTTCTCCCCAACTTTCTGACCCAGTGGTTCCTCCTGCTGCCAACAGCGGTAACGCCTGGCGAGCACGGCGACTGTGGGGAGGTGCTGAGTGGGTGGCAGAGTTCATTCCACCTGAGCCGGCAGCCTCGGCAGAGAATCACGCAGGGAGGTGCAGGGGGTGGCAAATGGCCGGGACTTGCAGGACGGTCAGTGGCTCTGAGGCCCACGGGCCACAGGTGTGTCCCTTCTGGGTCGGGTTTCCAAGAAAAGGAGCAACGTGGTCAGAGTGGAGTTTCAGAAAGTGGATCCAGCAGCACCTGTTTGGGTTTGTGACGATGTATTAGATCAGAGGTCGTCAACCCGTGGTCCGCGGTCCACTGGTGGTCCGCGAGTTCCGAAAGGTTGGCGACCGCTGGATTAGATGGATCCTCTACACCAGTGGTTCTCAACCTTCTGGCCCTTTAAATACAGTTCCTCATGTTGTGACCCAACCATAAAATTATTTTCGT